CCCCCCCCCAGTGGCCCTGGTCATCTTCTGTACAAAACATATACATATGACCTTGTGATATTTCAGTTTTTATTTTTTAATACAATTGCAAAATATTCTACATTTCTGGGGGGTTTTTCTGTCAAGATGGGATGCTGAGTGTACATTCATGAGAAATAATACAGACTTTTTTTATTTTATGAAATGGCTGCAATGCTTTAGAAGGAGTGAAAACTTTAAAGGCGCCTGAATGCTTTCGGAAACCCAATGACAAACTAAAAGTGTTTGTTTATTTCTACCTTCTTCTTCGCTGGAGGCTTTAGGCTGGCCGTTTCGAAGGTAGGTCAGCTGGACCTTCCTGTTGATTCCAGAGAAATGTCCGTACCTGAAACAAACATTAAAAAGAGACAATAAAAAATAAAAAATAAAAAGTTGGAGAAAAGTCGGAATGCGCCTCTCGGTTTTACGAGTTTTGTTTAAATGTGCAACACTAAAACACACATCTAGGCTCCATTCCAGGTTTCTTACAACACAAGCTGAAAACAATAAAAAGCCTTCAGGCCTGACACACGGGTAAAACACGAGGCTAATGCCGGTATTAGCAGCTGGTTTGATGGAAACTCTGTTACTCATTGGGTCCTTCAGAGTTAAACATTTGTAGCTAAGTAGTTCCAGCTGAACTCCAGACACGGCCTTGCTGAGAAACATCATATTGAGCTCTTATTAAGGATCTGGCTCATTCTGCTGACTAGTGACTGCTTGGTATTTGCCGACAGGTCAGGCAGGTGGGCAGAGGTCTCAGAAAGCAATTTTATTCTGGAAGCTGAGGCAGGAAAAAAACATGAGTACAAGGATGATAAAGATAAGCCAACTTAAATGTGCACTACAATGTAAGAAAGGGGCCTCTGTTTAAAAGAAATCTAATTAGATTTGTGCTTTTGCCTGAGGAGCACAAAACAGAGAAAAAGAGCAGGTACGTCCTGGTGGCAAAATGCGGATGTTTTTAAATGGGGTGTCCCAAACGCAACGTTTTCATTTCCGATACGATACAGATATCGCATCAAGTATTGACCAATTCCGATATTTACCCGATACAATATCAGCACAAATCAAACATACTTTTATTACTTATTCTGGACTGTGGACTGTTAGAAAAGGCTTGACCAAGAGATTATGGGGCCGACTAAATGCTGGGGCGGAGTGTTTATGTCGAAGACTTTAGATGCAGGCCGATATTATCAGATGCTCGTTTTTTTTCTGGCTGAGACGATATTAGACATACATTGAAAGATGCAAATAATGCCATTTCATTTTTAAATAAGAAAAACATTTTATTTCATAAAATGCATAAACAGCATTCATTAAAGGAATTTATATATCTTAGAAGTTATTATGAACTTATCCTCTTTATGCTACCGCCCTGCAGTTGAGCATTCAACTCCAAATTTAATATCAGGTGGTGAGCCGAGCCCACAAGACGACCAGCAATGGAGCATCAACACCAGAACGAAGGCAGGAGTGAGGAGACATTAGGGGACTTGGAGTCCAGCTGATGTGTGGTGAGGACAGCATGCACATTAAGGGGTAAAACACACTGATCTACACACGCAGGAACACAGTGAAATCATCATTTGACTGTGTATGAGTCAATTATTAAATCCTAAAATAAATGGAGTTTAGAGAAAAAGTGTACAAAACATTAGGAATGCTTGGTATATTTTATTGCAACACTGTACGATAAAATATACCACAGTAGTGATATATTCACAACTGCATAAACTTAAAAATGTATTTTTATGGGTGGAATCTGAAAAATTCCAGCTTTTGTTCTGGTGAGGAAATTTTTGAAATGCTCCTAATAGTTTGTACACCATGTTGACTAAAACCGCATCCTTCAAAGTGAAGAAGGGAGAGGGTGCGTACTGATTCACATTCAAGCTGGATTCCCTTGTGGAGAAAGAGAAGGACGGATGGGAAGACCGGAGAGATAAAGGAAGGGGGGTGGAGAAGAAGAAAAACAGACAGTTAAAGTCAAGATGAGAGGATGGTGATTTCATGGTACACAAGTGTTTGGTAGCGAGCATGAAAAAGGTGAATGGGCCCTGCTGAGGTGTTGAAAGGCGATCTGCGGAGGTCGAGGAGCCCGCTAATGAAAGCTGTCCCCGGAAAAACCGCAGAGCGATGACGGACGGTCCGTGTGTGTGTGTGTGTGTGTTTAGCTGCGAATTCGTGTCACAGGTGAAAATGTCACACTCACATTTCCAACACTGTCTTGAGTTGCTCCAGTTTGGATTTCTTCTCCTCAATCTCGCAGTCGTTGTGCTGACCGAGTTCGACCAGCAGCAGGCGGGCGATGTCCAGCACTTCCTGGAATCACAGCGGCTTTTATCCGTGACTGACAACGGAGTGTCCGATTTCCCTGCCCATGAGCAAATTATTCCCTCTGCGCTGGACTCGACTACGATTAGACAGCATAAGCTCATGGCCCCTCTTTGAAAAATGCAAATCATATTCAATTAAATAAATAAAAAAATATACATAAAATGTATTTATTTTTTAAATAGTGCCACCCCCAACTTTTACTAGCCTGGTCTGGCCACTCCTATTCAATTTTTCACATGTACCGTTAGTGAAGAAACATTTTTCCTGTTGAAACACAGGAAAAATGCTTACATTTGTTACTTTAGTAAAATCTTCAATTCTTCAGTCTAAAATCTGGCAAGCAGTAACTATCACTGAACATAAATTCATCATTTTTACCGAATAAGTTTCTTGAAAACACACAAAAGCACAAAAGCAAACTCTTACCAAACTAAAATACCATTTGGGTATTTTATTCATGAATAAAATACCCTAAGGGTACCCTAAGGGTATTTTATTCAATCATTCAGGGGAATGAATTGAATTGTAATCAATTCACATGATTACACAACAAGTGACTTCCATAGTTTTTAAAAACAACGACATGCAAATCTCTGCATTTACGTTGGATTTTCACAGGCTCAAAGTACCTGCAGAAACTCTCAAAGGAACTTTAAATTAACGCGACTTTAAAAAAAAAATAAAAATTGAGACTGAAAAAATATTGCTACCAATCACAAGCTATCAATTTCACTGAAACTGATAAAATTCAGATGTCCTAGTTGAAGTTTCTTAATTTTTTAATAGTCCGCGCTAAAACCTGGGTCCTTAATGGAGACAGTTTAAATGAACTCTCCTACTTTTGCCATGAAAAGAGTTAAACCAAGTCAGATTTATTATAGAAACGTTTGGACTGCCAATTTCAGGGAGAATTTTCACTAAACTAAGAGATTTACAAAATAAATTATGGTTTACGTTTAATTCATCCATCCTAGAAAAATATGAAAATAAATCATTAAAACATTTCAATAATTTTGTGACGATTCTTTGTAAAGTTTTGACTGGAAACGTAGCAGCATATGAAGAAGAAGGGAACAAACACTGTCAAAAAACATTTACACTGAAAAGTTATTGATATGATAAAAGAATTACTCACCTGCAGCTGTTTGGGCTTTTTTAACTTTAGCTTGCCCGTCTTGTATCCTCCATACTTCTTAAACAACTCAAAGAAGCTGTTTAGGCAAAACACAAATAAATATATTGTATTTATGGACACAGGAACATGAAGCTGCATTCTGGACAGATTTCAATTTAATAAAACATACAAAAATGCAAGTTAGAGGCAGGAATTGAAAGATTCCACAGAAACGTGAGAAAACGGACGATGTCCAAGTTTCTTATCAAGTTGATAAGCAACTTGATGTGAGCTTTGTCCTTGAGTCCATGTCTCTGTGTAAACTCATGCAGTATTTTGTATGACTACCGTAATAACAGAGCAAAGTCTCACAAAGAACATTTATCAACAAACTAATTGTAGAGGCCAACTATTGGATAGGAGAAAATGCAGAGACCTTAAGGTGGAAGGGAAGCGACTTACAGAGGATGACGGACCTCCATTTTCATCTTCTGCTTTGGGGTCCGATCTCCATGACGAATGATGGCGATGACGCAGCGCAGCTCCATCCTTTTAAAAGAAATATTAAGATGGAGGAGGACAAGAATTAATGTAAAAATCATTTTGTTTAATATATATATATATATATATATATATATATATTTATAAAATACATCCAGCTCTACAAACCCATGAGCAAACTGCGATATTTTCCTGAAGTATTCACACCTCTTAAAGTTTTTCATATTTTGTCATTTTGCAACTAATTTAGACAGATTTTATGCAACAGGGCAACACAAAGAACATGACGGTCTAAAAAGAACTAAAAACTGGACGTTGTGGCAGCCATTTGTATTCACCCGCTTTAGTCTGATACCCCGCAATAAAATAAAATAAAATGCCTATGTAATTCAATGTTGACAGTTTAAAAGAGAGATTTATTATGTTTTGTACAGATTAAATGATATAAATGACTGTCAAAGGCAGCTGGATGCCTTCACCGCGGTGTTTTGTGCATCGTACGTACATGGTTCCTGAGGTTGTCGGGACGATGGGGATGTCTTCAGCCTCCATGGGGATGGACCAGGGGATGTGCAGCTGGGGGGCCAACTCTCTCATCACCATATTCCTGGTGAAGAGGTCAGCGTCTGATTTATTCATGTAGCTCATTCAAAACACAACAGCTGACCAGAGTGCTTCAAAATTACAACAATCATAAAAATAGAAAATAGATTTTTTTTTTTTAATGGGGCAAATAGATTAGATTCCCTGAGAACATTTAATGTAGTTTCTATCAGACTGTAGAAGTTATGTACAGTCTGATAGCTACTATCACAAAACGTACTTTCACAGAAAACACAGCAGAGACATTTAATCAAATCTACTCTTCTTTCTCGCCCTTAACCTATAATGATGTAGATAAGTTGGTAGATGATTTTCAGTGCAAACTTTCAGATATCATTGATTACATTGCCCCCATTAATGTGAAGGTTGAGTCTGGTAGGAAGAAATCTCCATGGAGAAATGCACAAACGGTTCAATCTGCAAGACAACTCTGCCGTAGAGCCGAACGGAAATGGCGTAAAACTCAACTGCACGTTTATTATGACGTCTATAAAGAAAGACTACATAACTATCACACAACACTAAAACATGCAAGAGAGGCTTTCTATGCAGATGTCATAAACAAAAACACTAACAACGCTCAAACTTTATTTGCTAATGTTGACAGGCTCACAAATCCTTCTGTGATGCTGCCACCTGAACTTCAATTTAATGCCACCTGCAACAAGTTCTCCAGTTTCTTTTCAGAGAAAATTCAAAAGATCAGAGGATTAATCTGCACATCCACGACAAAGTCAGTACCAATGCTGTGCTCAAATAAAACAAATGCAGGAAAAATGACCCAATTTCAACTACTTCATTATAAAACCCTAGAAGAAATTATAAGTCAATTAAGCTCCAGTTCCTGCTGTCTGGATGTCCTACCCCCACATTTCTTTAAGAAAGTCCTGCCTGTCGTTGCTAATGATCTGATCCAAATAGCGAACTCATCGCTGTCTTCAGGTGTTTTCCCCCAGGCTTTGAAAACAGCAGTTATCAAACCACTTATAAAAAAGAACAATCTAGACAAATCACTACTGCAGAATTACAGGCTGATCTCCAACCTCCCATTCATCAGCAAAATTATTGAAAAGACAGTTTTTAAACAATTAAATGACTTCCTAACAATAATGAATCGCTTTGACTCCTTCCAGTCTGGTTTCCGGTCTCACCACAACACGGAGACGGCCTAGTCAAAGTGTTCAATGATATCCATATGAATACAGACTGTGGGAGAACCACAGTGCTGGTTCTGTTGGACCTCAGTGCTGACCAGGACATTTTACTGAATCGACTGGAGAGTTGGGTCAGACTCTCTGGTCCAGTGCTCCACTGGTTTGAATCTTACATAAAGAACAGGGATTTCTTTGTTTCAGTCAGAAACTTCTCATCAGAGAGGTCAAAGGTCACATGTGGGGTACCCCAAGGTTCAATCCTAGGACCCCTTCTTTTCAATATTCATATGCTCCCACTGGCTCAGGTTATAACAGGAAATAGGATTAGCTACCATAACTATGATGATACACAGCTCTACATCACGATGTCACCAGGTGACCTTTGACCCCATCCAATCACTGAACAGATGCTGAGAACAGATAAATGTGTGGATGAGCCAAAACTTTCTCCAGCTGAACAGAAACAAACTGAAGTTATTATCTTTGGACCTAAAGAGGAGCGAACTGGAATCAATGCTCAGCTTCAGTTATTACAACTGAAAACCAGCGATAAGCCCGAAACCTGAGAGTAGTGATGACCTCTGACCTGAACCTTCAGAGCCACATAAAGACAGTCACAAAGTCGGCCTTCTTTCACCTGAAGAACATCTCCAGGATTAGAGGACTAATATCTCAGCGCGATCTAGAGAAACTCATCCATGCGTTTATCTTTAGCCGCATTGATTACTGCAACAGCGTCTTCACAGGTCTGACTAATAAATCAATCCTCCAGCTGCAGCTGATCCAGAAGCTGCTGCTGCTGTTCTGACTAAAACCAGGAAGATGGAGACATAACACCAGTTTTAAAGTCCCTACACTGGCTCCCTGTAGCTCAGAGGATAGACTTTAAAATACTGTTAGTTTATAAATCACTGAACGGTTTAGCACCACAATACATTAAAGATCTGTTATTGCTGTACCAACCATCTAGACCCCTCAGATCTTCTGGTTCTGGTTCTGCTCTGCATCCCCAGAACCAGAACCAAACGAGNGTAATTAGTATTTTATTGGTTGTGTTTTTTGTTGCAAAATAGCTTGTAAAAATGCATTTTGACACTTATTCAAATTAAACCAGAATATTCAATGTACCTAATTGGGATTTTAGGGTATAAACAAAGTTGTTCCTCATTATGAGGTAGAGAGAAAATGATGCATTTTTGAGGCCATTACTTTGAAATCACTTCTCTTGTCACAGAAGTACCACAAAATATCAGAATACAACTTTAGGTCCATCACCCAGCCCTAAAATACAGTTAATGGAGGTTCTACAAAAACAAAAAAATAAAAAACTAGGTTTTTCATACCTATATGTATCTTTTGCTCAGTTATGTGGTGGTAACAGGAAAATGGTTTATTCATAGTTTTTTCAAGGGACTAAAATGTAATTAAATGAAAATATCTCCATAATAACTACTCTTAAATTATGGAGTAGAAATTTAGTCAGTTTCTTGCCGTTATTACCAAATCTTCTAAGTTGCACTGATGTAAATAAATAAGCCAGACCTGATAAGTTACCTACTGTAGCAAGACATTAATAAACCACTTTGACATCCAGACAGCGAGTGTCTGCTTGCTTTCTTTTTTTCTTTCTTCCTTTCTTTCTTTCTTCTTGCGAAACTGCAACTTGACACCAAAAGGCCTGCAGACTCTAGCGTATAAATATGCGTGAACCTGCGAAACCGAAAGACAGACTAGAAAGTCTTCCAACAAACTCTCCGGTCCCACTCACTTCTGGACTTCGATCCGTAGGCGTTGTCCACAAAAGGTCTCGCTCCGTTTCATGTGTAAACAAAAAGGCGCACCTGTTGCGCAGTTGCCAAGATCAAAACGTCGAGTGCGCAGAGAAAAGTGTGCGAGTCCCTCGCAGTGGGAGTAAAAGTGCTGCGGCAGGAAGAAGGAGGCTCACTCACATGGGCAGAACCTCCTCTTTCCTTTCTGTTGACTTGCTGGTGTGTCACACGTACCGTAAAAGGGGCCTGAGTCGGTGCTGGGAACAAACGCTCGGGGTTGTCGCTACCCAGGTGCCGCATGAAGAAGGCCCCTTCATAAAAACCACAACGTGGCCCTCTGTGATGTACTGTAATGTCGGTAAACACGGTGACAGTTTGAGTCACTCATAAAGCAACATTCATTTTAAATGTGTTTTTTTTATGTTCTGCTTTTGAGACAATGACAAAGTGCTGATGTGGCATTACGGAAAGCTGTGAGGTAATTTTTCGACATCTGTGAATATTTGTTCTCGCTGACATGAATCTGAACTTTATTTTTAAATCACTACCGTCTTCCTTTCTGCGTCCGCTTGCTTTTACGAGCAAGAGTCGTCCATGCAGTTAGTTGGAAAAGCTTCACGGCCTCCTCTGGGCGCAGGGACGTTGACAAAAACAGAAAATTTACTGTGAGAGCGTCTCTCAGTTAAATCAAACACGACCCAGAGCGAAGAGACTACCAGTGATCTTTTTTTTTTTTCACTTTGTCTCAAACCGAGAACCAGGAAGAGGTATTTCACCTAGTTACTCATGAGGTTAGATTTCTCAGTGGATGTTATGGATTTTCCAAAATGATCAAGCATCGAACCACTGATCTGGACTGTTTGCAGCTTTCTCAGAAGAAAACAGTCAAATCTGTCTGGTGGGGAGGGGGCGGCTGGAAGGAGGGCGAGGGAGGGATTTGCTTCACGTAGGAAGACATTTACACAAACACCAGCAGAAAGTAAGAAAATGAAAGAGAAACCTGCTGCAGCGTTCACACTGCAGACCTGTAGTCAATGCTACTGAAAGGTTTTGGCACAGTTTTAAGATTAGTTTTTGGGAAGAATCGGAATCTGCTTTATTGGCCAAGATTAAGGCCAATAAAGTAGGAATTTGACTTGCCCAGACATTGACTATAAATATATAAACTTTAGAGGAAGTAAAAGGAGGATAAAGGAACAATATCAACAAGTGTTTTCAGCCAATTTGTTCAATAAAAAAACAACAGAAATTACAATATTACAACTTCCACACACTTCTGCATGCCTCAGCTCACCTTGCTGGTGTTTGCAGCATATAAGAAGTAATAAACATAAGGCTGTAATCATAACCTTACAACTCATTTATATTATTTTGTCAAATTTACTAGTTTTTCTCTTGCCTTCTGCCTTCATTTTTTAGTTTCTATCATTTTGCTTCAGCAAAATAAAAATCTATATGATGGTGTTTAAAACCAGTTTTAAACAAAACTGCATGACGTTATGTATAGTATTGTTATATAATATTTAAGAATACCATAAACTGTAGTAAAATCTCTCTGGGTCATTTTATGTCTTTTGAATATCTTGGAATTGAGGTAAAAGGCCACAAACGAACTTTGACACTAACTTTATACAAAAAAAACAACATATGAGGAAAATTTCTTTACGGACTTCAATGAGCTTCTATCTTTCATATGTATTGATTACGATTGTTTAATAATTGTCGGTGATTTCAACATTCATGTTGACAACCCCCAAGACCGAGGGGCAAAAAAGCTGTTTGATATATTAGAGAGTTTTGGTTTAACACAACATGTCAAACAAGCAACACACACCCATGGACACACACTGCATGTGGTTATCAGTAAGGGTGTGAATATTTCCATCGTCTCTGTAACTGACGTCGCCCTGTCGGATCACTTCCTGTTATCTTTGAATGTTCTTTATCCGTTGACCCACTTGGACAAACAGCTACTATCACAAAACGTACTTTCACGGAAAACACAGCAGAAACATTTAATCAAATCTACTCTTCTTCCTCGCCCTTAAGCTATCATGATGTAGATAAGTTGGTAGATGATTTTCAGTGCAAACTTTCAGATATTGATTACATT